AATATTCCCGAAACATTACTTAGCCGGAGTTAGTGCATGGATAGGATTGGACGACATCAGAAATGAAGGAATTTGGGTTTGGTCGGATGGCGTAAATGAATCACCAAATTCTCTTTGGGATGCGCAAGAACCAAACGGCGGTAGAATCGAAAACTGTGTAGAAGTAGTATTCTATAATTCGACATTTGTTGGCAATGATGCTCCTTGCACTTTTTTCCGTCGTTTTGTTTGCGAAAGGGAGGTCAATTAATGTTTTCCTGAATTAATTTCCCTTTCACACAACATTGCTTGATTTGAATTCAAAAATATTTTATGATTTTGCGATTTAATTTACTGTTAGTTTAACCTTGAAAAAAGTGAACTAATTTAAACAAATGTGAAATTTTTTTTTAATTCAATTATTTAGGTTATTATTTTTTATTTTAGAGTTGTTTCTCAAATTTACTATCTTTGACTAATGACCATAATATCATACTTTTATTTTGTCAGAATCGAACGACCAAAAAAATTGCAAATAGGTCTTTCATTTTGGAAGCGTTTATTTTTAATTATTGAAAACATTTTAACAATTTGATATTAATTTAAATCTTGATCAAACAGTTATCAAGAAAAAGTGCAATTAAGTTGCTGAACGATTTTTCTATTTTGCATTCTACAATTGAATCATCTTGTTTAATCACAAAATTCACTTTAAATGCTGAACGTCTAACCTAAAGTTTTAATAAAGCCACCGCAAAATAGGTATATACATATATTCGGATACCTATTTGCGAAAAAAAAAGCCCAAGTTGAATGAATGAGATTTACGATCCTACCGAACTAAGTAAGGCCAGACTGGCTGAGAAAACATTCTGAGCAAAATTTTCGTTAAACACATAAGAGGTATCTCTTTTCTTTATGTTTTTCGCTTTAAATTCAGATTCCTGTTTCAGTGCTTTGTTAATTTTACTTGATGAATTTACTTCAGAAAGATGAAGATTGCACAGATAATAAATAAATGTCATTGACATCGTTATGCCTCTTGCTGTTATAGATACTCTAGACCAGGGCTTCCCAAAAATTTGAGCTCGCGGCCCCTTTTATTATATTAAAATTTTTCGCGGCCCTTGTTCGCGTTAATAATGCTAAACAGCTCGAAATATGCATTTTTGATGTTTTATTGACACAGCTAATTCTCAAATTTTAGTAGGCCTACTCAATTACAAAAACAAGCACATATTTATTCCGATTAACGTTACTCAATTATTCAGTGTAATGGGTGCGAATACTTTTTGCTGCATAGCAAGTCCAGCCTTGGCTCAATGTTTGTTTATGCAGGCCTAAATGATGAATTACGATGTCTGGCCACCGACGGCATGGTCCCTTTTCGGAATTGTTCACTCTTATTGATCAAACTTAGCATAAGACAGCGGTTTGTGTGGCGCAAAATTATCATGGAAAAAACTCATGGCGCACCTACACGAAAAATATGCTGCCTGATAATAAAACACAATTTTGTCATCGTTAATATGTACTTATCTTATCTCTGCCTGGTTTTTCTTCAAAATGCTAAAAAAATCACTCATGTTCAGCAAATGAATAAACTGCAGCCTACGGAATTGCAGCATGTAGGACACCCGACGTAACAGAGCATACACAACATAGAATAGTAAAATGAAATTGATTCGTATACACATCATTTGCAACAATGAGAAACAATAAAACATTTAGAATAAATAAATGTAACATATTTCGAGGCGCACTTAGCAAATCGCCCCCAGGAACCGCTAGCTTAACGATTATTAAAGCCGGCATTGTTATGCAAGCACACGCAAATCGGGTCTTACGATCAGAATATGCATTGTTATGCAAGCGCGATGATTCTACTGTGTTTCCCCGAAAAGAAAACTAAGCCTGAATTTTAGAAATTATTTTTAATAAAAACGCTCTCCTTTAAAAAAGACTTAGTCGATAGTGCAATTTTTTTGACCTAATCCCGTGGAAGTGCGTCGTTTCAATTTTGCTAGGACGTCGCAAAATTTCGTGATTCGTGAACCTTTCAAACAACCCATATATATCTTTTACTTTTACAGAAAAAGAGAAGATTATATCGATCTTACCTGTGATGGTGTTACAATAAAAAAGTTTAATTCTGAAAATTCGTTTTTTTTGTAGATAAAGATTATTTTTCTTGATTCAATAAGCGTTGCGGACTCCTATCCCCTTTGCGATTTCGTTTTTATATAAACCAGACTTTTCTACCAAGGTCCATTAAACGTGATTTCACTGACTGTCGTTATGTTTTGTTTGTTCTATTATATGAAACTCATTGCAAAAAAAGTCTTTTATTGAAAGGTATCCCTTACGTTTTTTCACGGGAAGTCGTAACTTGAGCATATTTTTGGAGGGCGTCATAATACAATGAAGTTCGAGAACCACTGAGTCCCAGTCGATAGCAAGAAATTTATACTCAGGAAATTTCTACTCTTTCTACCTTTTAAATGTTTGATAATCTATATGTAGCAGTTTCTTTAAATAAAGACGTGCTATTTATAAGTAATGGAAATCGGTATTCATATTTGAAATAATAAAAAATCTCGTTATTCTCTACATCCCCCCAAATTAAGCCCTAGTGTTATTTTCGATATAAAATTGAATACACTGTCTTATTTACACAGTATGATGATGTGTTCATTAGGAATCGTGAAATTTTTGTTTCACATTATTTTTAATAATTATATTTCGAATCAAGAGTCTGGAAAAGTACAATAGATATAGTACTTTGTGTAAAACTGGTGCTCTCTTTGCGGCCCCCAAAATTCGTTTCGCGGCCCCTAGTTTGGGAAGCCCTGCTCTAGAATACTCAGCTAGAAGATTTGTAAAAATTTTGTGCATAGTGATAATACTATGGTACACCGATTACGTATATTAAATGAGACTTTTCGTCCAAATAACAATGCGCCAAGAGGAAAAAATGTTTAATAGGCATTGTTTTCGTCGCAGGAAATGATTAATAATTGAATCAAAATCATAGATTAATAAATCCTGAAGTTTAACAGTAGCAGATATTAAACTTTTTGGCGCAGTACCTATCAACAAAATAAACAACAATTGAAAATATTTGGATAGTGAGTGTTTACTATTGAATTAATAACTCCTCGACACCAATGCTTCTTTAACTGGCATTTTTTTTTTCATCTTCAGTCTCTGAAAAGAAATTGAATCAAATATTTCAATGTTTTCTGCTATTTATATTGTTATGTTAGTAACCAAATCCAAAATACGTCAGGCATCAAGAATATTTAATCTTGCATGCAAAATTTTGAATCCAGCCGTAGATTTCAGCATTAAGTTTATCTAATGCGCATTTGCACTCAAGACATTTTTGTTTTCGCATAAATTTGCGACTGTGTACTATGTGTACATCCGCAAAATATCTGCGTTTCAGACTAAATTTCATTTATTCATTTTAATCATACTTGACTTGGGATTACTTTGCACATACTACAATTTTATGCATTACCCTATAAAGTAAAGAAGCCCTCAAAGACGAATAAATGATAAATATAGCTCTAAAATGACCTAGTGATAACGATTGTTTATGAGTGCTCAATAAATGTCAATAATTTCGTTTTACAACTTGATTGGCTTTTTTACATCCAATTATAAGTAATTTCCGGCTTCAAAAACACTGTTGGTTATTGAGAAAATCGACACTTTGTCGCCTTGGTGCAATGATAGTTGAAATTGCTTCCGATTAGTAGGATTTTCGATTGTTACATTGCATATATCTTACATAGAAAGAGTGAATCATAGGAAAGCAATATATTCTGTAAGTATTATCATTCATTGCATATATATACATATGCATAATAGTTTGCATTATTGGATTAGTACCATAAACCATATCCAATGCGTAGTCAAGTAAAATACATGTCTTTTAGTGCATGAATGCTTCTATCTAAAATTGCGTGAAGTGAAAAAAGAATATACCTAGCCAAATGTTTTAAATTTGTGTTCCCAGTTTTATAAGTCTCGAGAATCTTTCATTATAAAAATTAATTTGTCGCAATTTATCGAACAATTAGCACGATTGATTTTGATAGTACCGCGGCAAGCCCATTTCTTGCGCCCAAAGCAACAATCGCCCATTACCATAAAAACAATAGGAAATTACATCAAATATTTCATTAAAATTTTATTTGAATCAAAGGCATCATCCAATGTTTTCCTAACTTTATCAATATCAATCATCAAAACTGTCCCAAAAAAAAAACCAACCATGCCAAAAAAGAGTATAATTCAATACATATATTTTAACTAAATGACAATATTCCAAATGTAAACGACAAATTGATGATTTATTAATTAAGAGCGTCATCTCCGTTTCCAAAAAATGCTCAAAATTAATAATATCAACAGAGCTGTGTGCATTTAAAAGTTAAAACAGAATAGAAATACATTCATAAAAATATTTTCTTAATCAGACTTCACGATATAACACTACGCGTCAAGTCAAGGTAATTAAAAAAATAAATATCAGATTACTTTTTTGCACTGATGTGTTCACATGCTCATATAAAGGAGATCAGTATCTATTCCATCTGCATAATTTGTAACGATCTTGAATCTCGTCTTTTCCAGTTTTGATTTTTATTGGAAGAAAAATGTTTTAAGATATTTAAAATATAAAAAAAAACGGCTACCAAAATATTCAATTTTGAAATTTGTCAAAAATAGAGAAATTATAAGCAATTGCATTAAAAAGGATATACAAATATTTATATATATAGTACAAGTGATTTTTCTACAAGCATTGTCGAAGTTTTCTGTTTGTCTTGCAGGGTCTGAAGAACGCAATTGTTTCTTGGATGCAATTTTAAAGAGATTCAATCAAATTAATAAAACTTTTGAATATCTGATGATTGATATTATTTAGACCACAATGTGTTTGTCACATCGAAAAGTAGGATCAAGAGGTTCTGAATACAAAACAGATAGTTCGTTTTTCAAATTATTTGATATTGAAATACTTTTTAAAACGTTAAGACATCTTAGATCACAATATAAAACAATGGTTTAGGAATAAAATCGAACAATATTTTCATATAACGAATGTTCATGAACATTATGCATTACGTGGTATTATAAATGATGAAATGAAATAATAACGTGAATTGTCAATTTCATTAGAAAAACTTCAGATTTTTTCAATGCCTTCACATTTCCCTATCGTCATAGTGTTAATCAATGAAATCTCAGTAATAAACAATACTTGAAAATACAATCAAGATAAGTTTTGTGAAACGAAATTTTGATTAAAAAATATATTATTCAAATTCCCTTTCGCAAACAAAACGATTGACAGCTGAACAGGCTACATCATTACCAACAATCTTTGTATTATAGAATATTATTACGCAGTTTTCGGATGAACCCCCGTTAGGTTCCCCCGATGCCCATATTGCACTTGGCGATCCATTAACATCATCCGACCAAACCCAAATTCCTTCGTGGCTGATGTCGTCCAATCCAATCCATGATCCTCTGGTTAAGTAATGTTTCGGAAATATTTCACTGGATGGAAAACAAAATATTACACATCGAGTTATTGTTTGTAGTGAAATTACCATATCAATTGATTGCGTTTAGAAATACCAGTTCTTGAGTATCTTCAACTGGCGATATCCAGAGAGGTTAATCTTGGAGTCAAAATTGATGACCAAAAAATTCCAGTAATTGTTTCAAATTATGTTAACGTCTCACATAATACGCTAACTTACTTTTTTACTTGGTTGTTCCTCATCCCAGTTGATACCAAACGAGCTCCCAATCTTTCACATTGAGCCTTTGCAGTAGCGTAGTTGACAGAATAAGTGAAACGTTTGTAAATGAGATTATTGCTTGCTCTGAACCATCCGGATATCGAAAACATTTTGTTCATCCTCGAATTTGCTTCAGTCAGGTTTGCGTTCTGTAAAGCAAACTGAGTTATAAATATAACTAAATTTGTTTTCATGTTACCGATGCAACTATAACTAGATGCAACATAAACAATAATAGATTTTTTATGCGTATTGTACAAAAATAATATTCATATTTATATAAAAAATTATAGAAAGCAAATCTATTTGATCCCTGTTTCTTAAACTCACCAATTTGGTATTTCCAATCAATATTTTGGAGTCGAGTTGGCTCACTTCATTCTTCATATTTTTCAACTCATCTTTTATACTTGAAGATGCTGAAAATTTATCAAAAACATAAAATTATGCAACTAATCACATTTTTTAGATCTAACGCAGTAATATTTTTACACAGAATCTTAACATAATATACTTTGATACTGAAGCGTTAGAGAAATCAGGTGACCAACTTACCTTATCAATTAAATTTTGTTTTTATATTTTATGTTTCGTTTTTACTCCGATAAACTAAGTTAAACTTGATAAAACAAAGATTCGATGAAAAGTTGAAATAAAATATAAAATATGAACTTACTTTATTGTGGTTTCTAGGGAACTTTTATAAAGAAAGTATTGAAATGTGTTGCCGGTTTTTCAAATGATTCGACTCAGTTATAAGTTTAATAATATAAACTTAACATTTTGTGTTTCATTCGAAATCTTCGCAAGGGACGAATTGAACTGAGTTGTCAATTTTTCCAAAGTTTTCACTTGTTTTTAAATTTGAAAAAACTAAATCATGCTTATATATAATTGGCATTTTTTGACTAAAATCAATATATCATACTTTTTTGAGTGTCGTTTATTTTGATGGCGAGAGATGAATCAATCTCACTAAATTTGTCCAATTTTTCTTTCACTCCATTCATCTCATTCTGGAGCTTATAATAAATTTTAACATTTCAGATGAACGAATTATTACAAAAATAGGAAAAAATATATTTTTGTACAATGCGCATATTTTTATTTGATTTTATTATATAGAACACTAGAGTAAGTTTAATTTTCACTAAGTTTACTAATTAACTTCATTAAGTTTACTAATTAACCTGCATAAACAGGATAAATGCAGCAACCGACACTAGGACGCATATTCCTAATGATATCGCTAGAACAATCAGAGTTTTCTTGTTTGTAGCTTTATTGTTGTCTGTGGAAAAAAAAACGTCTATAAAAGGAATTTCAAAACAGAGATTTCCTAAGATAAAAAAAATATTTTCTGTTCTATTCTATGTCAAAATAAGGCAAACACAAATTGTTGCGACATTGATGTAAAATAGCTGATTTCATATGGATAAAATAGGTTATTTTCATTTTTAAAAGCCTGAGAGGTTTCACCATGCCTGTTTACTCTTGTATTATATTTTTTAATTTTTCTTGTTATAGTACAAATTAGAATTTGAGTTTAATCAAACACAAACCTTGTTTAGGATCTGCAGGGGGCCTTGAAACAGTCGAGGAGATTTCATATACATTTTCACTTTGACCATTAACATAACATCCCATCTCCATGTTACCACTTTATGAAATGATCTTCTTCTCAACTGAACGTAGTGTTGCTATCGATAGCCCTTTTATAGACTACAACATGGCAATAAAATTAGTCAACTTTTACACGCAAACAATTAGGCAAATCGTGTGGAAATAATGAAATAATAATGACATAGAACATATTTGTATATACAGTTTATGGCCGTGCATATTTCAAACTAACTGAAAACTTTATTTGTTTTAATATTAATGATTCTGTAAATCAATATTATCAATGCATTAAAGGTGGGAGACGAAACCTCTATTTTGCGGTAAGCCATAAGAATTAGTTACAGAATATTTGACACATTACTTCCTTGATACTCAAGCTAATACATGTTTTTGAATGGCCAATGCTTGTATTAAGTATATCATGATATAAATAAGATTTTTTAATTCACATTTCACATTTTAATATATTTACATTTAGACGTATGCGGATTGACTAAGTGACGTACATGATATGAAAATCTCAATTGATTCACTATACATCAATCATATTTCAAACATACTAATTAGGTCACAGCGTGGAAATATTTTGAATTTCACTCTCCTGCTAGTAAAATTATTGAATGGTTCTGAGTTAAAGATTATTAAAATTAAAATGCACATACCATATGTTTGTTATCTTACGTGCCATTTGATGGTTATATCATAAAGATCATGGTTCAATAGTTATAGGTTTAAAATATGATTTAAAGTATGATTTAGCTTCAACACAAGCAATATTTTTTGAGCTCTCGATAGATTGTTTAACCTCGATACACAACGGTTGGTTTTTTACTTTTTCTAACTTGCCGACAGGATTGTTTTCGCCTAAATAGCAATAGATCTGGAGATTAATTCAATATGTTCAACAATCCAAACCTAAATAAACGAGCAATTTTAAAATGTTTGACGCAATATACCACGCATGGAGAATGAAATGAAAAATATTCAATATTTGATTGCTCTGATCCTACTAATCTAATCGATGTGATTGAACTGATTGCGATGTGATTTGAACTGATTGTGATGTGAGTAACGTGTATTGTAGCATGTGAGGTTTGTAAAAAGGAAAGAGGTCCGTCACAATGTCATTCTGAAGATGTCTATATCTAATTATGTTGTATAAAATGATAATCATGAAATATAATATGAAAAATATATGCAGTTAAATATGTAAATATAAACAGTTATGCATTCATATTTGCAGCCACAATATACATAAGGCATTGGGTATTTTAAGATGAGTATTCATTTAAATATCGAGGAAGTAATGCGTCACATATACTGTAACTGGTTGTGTTCTTTCCTGGCCAACCATTGATGATGTATTAGTTATCTGGAATTTACATACTCCGAAAATACACCTTAAGAGATAATTTATAACAGATATTGAAATTTGTCATATGCACTGTCATATAACCAAGGGTATATATTGCTTTGTGTCATTACGGTTTTGCCACCCACTGATGATAATATTGATAAAAATTATATTTGACTTGAAATGTTAGCTGATTAATTAATTTTAGCTGCTAATTTTCTTTAAAACGGTTATCGGCATTTGAAAAGCAGAACATTTTAAAGCGCGTTACTATTGAGATGGAATGTTATGCAAATTTTCAGAGTCAAAATATATATGAAACCGCTCAGACGGCTTCAGAGTCACAAACGATTCCTAAACAAAGTTTGTGTTTTATTTTATTTACTCAACATTTAAATTGTTAAACTACAATAGAAAAACTAGATATAATATGTAAACACGAATCGTAACACAGTATGTTCCATGCTTTGCATTTAAGGGGAAATCAATGTTGTAACCCTTTCCTAATCATTATTATTATTAATTTTATAATAAATATATTCTGAGTTTGATCTGTAACACTGTAATGTTTTATTGAAATTTCACTATTAGATTACAATGCGATTTTAAAGTTATCAATGCTCCTAAACCAACCTATTTCAAACATTCTGATCAAATTTTCTTAAACTCAAAAGAGTTGTCTCGCTTTTTGATGAGTTTTGTGTTTTCTCTTTATATTTAGTATTTCATTTCAGTACTTTTTAAATTTCAGATTAAAATTTAGAAGACTTCACAGTAAATAAATAAATTTTATTGATATCGTCATGCTTCTAGCTTAAAAGGGAATCCAGAATACTCATCTAAAAGATTTTTATAAATTTTTTGGCATAGTGAATAGTCCTTTTTTGAACATTTTTCCGTTTTTGGTGTGGTTAAATATATATAAATATTGGATGACACTTTAATTTTACAATATTTCTATACTGAGTTAATAATGAGGGGTTTCATATACATTTTGACTTTGAACATTCGCTCAGCATTCCATCTCCATATTATCGCTTTAATGAAATGTTTTGCCGTCTAAATGCACGTCTCAGTGCCGATAACTATTTTTATAAAGAATCAGCAGAAACTCAATAATTTTAGTTAGCTAAACAGGCCAACATTGAAATAAACACGCGCATAATAATTTTTGTTGCTAATCTTCCAATAAAAGTGGGTTGCTAAACCAACATGACGATATAAAACAATATACAGTATACTATCAGTTAAGTGAATATGATAAACTAACGGATAACTTTATTCGATTTGTAAATTCATACAATTAATGATAAAAGGTTGGCTCCGAAATGAGTGTTTTGCGGTAAGCCGAAGAACTAGTGATGAAATATATGACGTTACTCCTTGTTAATACTTGAATACAATCTGAACGAAGTGACTTAACTGTGTTTGATGAGTATTGAAGCAATTGAGGTTTGCATAACACGTACGTAAGTTCGTCACTTATTCAACAGGAACACAGTCTATATCTAAGTACTTTATATTGTATAAAATGATATTCATAAAAATATAATATGAAAAATATATGCCTAACTGTTATGCATTCAAATTTTTTAAATACAAAATTCACGAAGTTTCGTTTTTGAAAACACCTATTCATTTAAATATCAAGGAAGTAATGCGTCACATTTCTGCCACTATGTCTGTTCTTTCCTGGCCCACCTTCTTTGTTGTATTCTTTATCTGGAATTCACATAATCGAGAATAAATCTTTGAGGCATAGGCTAATTCAAACCAAATAATGTTGTTTGACGTACACGGTCCACATAACCAAGGGTATACATTCTTTTGTGTCGTTATTGTTTTGCCATCCAATGATAATAATAATGAAAATAATTTCATTCGCCTTCAGATGATAACTGCATAATTAATGTTAGCTGCTAATTCTCTATAAAACGAATATCGGCACCAAGACTGCGCGTTTTAGAATATGGATATGGAATGTTATGCAAATTTTCATAGTCAAAATATATATGAAACCCCTCAAACTGTTTCAGGGCCTGGCGTTTCTTAAACATGGTTTGTGTTTGATTAAACTTAAATTTTATTTTGTAATATAACAAGGGAAAATAAAAAAAATAGGATACAAGAGTAAACATGCATGGTAAACCTTCTTCGGCTTTTAAACATGCAAATATCATTACTTTTCTCCATATGAAATCAGCTATTTTACAGGAATGTTGTAACAAATTTTATTTTCACTATTCTTACGTAGAATAAAAAATGAGTAATTTTTTACCTCATGAAATCACTTTTTCAAATGCCTTTCATCCACGTTTTTATTTTCCACAGACAACAAGGAGGCTACGAACAAGAAAACTCTGTTTGTTCTCGCGATATCTTCTGGAATATGTATCATTGTGTCTGTTGCTGCATTTATTCTGATTATGCAAGTTAGTTAGTAGTGGGAATTAAATTGAGCCTAATGTTCTATATATTAAAATCAAATAAAAAATATGCGTATGGTACGAAATGTTGTTAATTCTGTTCTATTTTCTTTTTGTGAAATATTCAAATTTATTTTAAGCTCCACAACGAGATGAATCGTATGAAAGATAAATTGGACAAAATGAGTGAGATCGATTCATCTCTCGCCAGCCATATAAACGACACTCAAAAAAGTACGATATATTGATTTTAGTCGAAACATGCCAATTGTATATTAGCATGATCTCTTTTATCGAATTTAAAAGAAAATGGAAACTTTTGCAATATTGACAAAGCAAATATTTCAAATAAAACACAAAAGAGTAGAGGTATATTTGACAAGCCATCGCATTTCAAAAGCTTGGAAACGACATTAAAAAACGAAAGGTATTTTAAATACCCATGGGAATTTGCCAATGGCATGACAATTTAGTTTAACATTTGTTTTAAAACTTATAAAGAGTCCAGACATTTAAACTATTGGCAACGCTTTTTAATTACTTCATCACAGAATTTCCAAGAAAACACAGAAAAGCAAGTTAATATTTTAGATATTTGAATTTTGGATCAAGTTTTCGCTTTAGAAGGCTTAACATGGTTTATCAGAGTAAAAACAGAACATGAAATTAAAAAAATATAAAAATGTAAAAGTAGGCTGGTCACCTGCCTTCTCTGACGCTTATGAATCAGAATAAATTATATTAGAATCATTCGTAAAAATATTACTGCGTGCGATCTAAACCTGTGATTAGTCACCTGATTTTATGTTTTCAAATAAATTTTCAGCTTCTTCAAGTATAAAACATGAGTTAAAAAATATGAAGAATGGATTGAGCCAACTTGACTCCAAAATATTGATTGGAGATAACAATTTGGTGAGTTTGATCAACATGGACCTATTTACTTTGTCTATCTATAATTTTCTTTAGTATGAAATACAAAAGTATATGAATATTATTTTTGCACAATAAACGTAAAAAACGAAAATATTTATGTTTATGTTGCATCAAGTTTTACAGAAACATGTTAAAGCACAATACTCAGGATTATTTTAAACTTAGTTGCTTTACAGAAAGCAAACCTGAGTGAAGCAAATTTGAGGATGAACAAAATGTTTTCGATATCCGGTTGGTTCAGAGCAAGCAATAATCTCATTTACAAGCGTTTCACTGATTTTGTCAACTACGCAACTGCAAAGGCTCAATGTGAAGAAATGGGAGCTCGTTTGGTTTCAACTGGAATTAGGAACAACCAAGTGAAAAAGTAAGTTAGTCACTTGTGTTAGAAACGTTAACACTCTTCTTTTACTTTCAGTACTTTCAGTTAGATCTAGCAGTATCTATAGGTTTTTACAGTAGAAATTAAATGTATTTTTAGATGTTGTTGTTAATGACGTAAAAGCCACTATTTACCTCACTTACTACTAGTTAACAAATATTTCTTGTCAATATGGAAATTACTTACCAAAAACACTTTCGAATTTGTTCACTATATTTTTCGGCACTTTGTAACTTTTTTTTTTTTTACCACAAATGTTGCCAATACCCAAACAAAACAGCGTGAGTTTCCACTTATTAGTTTTGGCGAGATGAAGAAGCGCGTACATTGACACAATTCGAAATTAATCTTTCATGAGGATAAAACCTACGTAAAACGAAATATATTTGTTACTTTATCTTTTGCACATGTGAGCTGTAATATGTAAATATGGCTATAAATGAAGCTTTAACTCTCAGTAATAAATAATTCTGCACCTTCTTAGTGAAATATTTCCGAAACATTACTTAACTGGAGCGTATGCATGGATAGGATTGGACGACATAAGCAAGGAAGGAATTTGGGTTTGGTCGGATGGAGGAAATGAATCAACAAGCGCAATATGGCAATCGTCACAACCAAACGGAGGCAGAAAAGAAAACTGTGCAGTAATCGTATTGCCTGGTGCTTTTGATATTGCGTGCTCTGGAGTCCAACGATTTGTTTGCGAAAGGGAATTTGCATGAATTTTTCCGTATCATGGAATGATATTTTTAAATTTGATTCTAAATTAATTTCTGATATTGCAATTTATTTCCTGTCTGTTTATGAGTAAAGAAAAATAAACCCTTTGGATTTGACTGACTCATAGTTTAAACATTCTACTGTTTATAATATTTATTTTTGGTTTATAAATGCTTTTCAAATTTACTAATATTTTACAGGAGATAAGTCATAATACATATTCGTTCATAATACAAACAGACAAGCGGCGCACAAGCTTAGATGAAAGATAAGTAGTTGGTTCTACAGAAGTCAAATCAATAACAAAAGTAATAATTCATAAATTTCTAAATATTCATGTATGAAAATATGTAAATAATCTGTATGATAATAAATATTTACGTTATTATTTTTTTTTATTTTATAGTTGTTTCTCAAAATTACTATCTCCGACTAATGACCATGATATCATACTTTATCATATCAGAATCGACCGACAAACAGAATGAAAGCCTTTTATTGCATGTTTCAAGCGTTTATTTAAACTGTTAAAGACAGAACAGAATCAAAATTCAATATTGATTTCAATCTTGAACAAACGGTTATCAGTAAAAAAATGTAATGGAGCTGCGCAACGAGTTGTCTATTTTGCATTCTACATTTCATGCTATGATGTTTTCGAAAATTGATAATTATGACTTCATGTGGATAGTTACAAAAGGTTATGCCTCAGATGTCCATTAGGCTTACTATTTTTAATTGATTAATCTAATTCAGGCACAAAATGCACATCAAATGATATAAATATGTATATGATATATACATATATTTCTTACTTTTTTGTTCACTGCCACTAGTGATATTTTTTTTCATTTATTAACAAGTTTTGAACCTGAAAACTTTGATTAAAATTTTAGGATATTTATTGTCTAAATGTATTTTCTTCAGCAGTATAAAAACAATGGCCCAAGTTGAATAAATGAGATTCAATATCTTTCCCAACTACCGCCAAACTGGCCCCTGGTCTAAAAAATTGAAAACATCTGTAAGGATTGAATTTATAATAAATATATTCTGAGGTTGACCTGTAACACTGTAAAGTCTAATTGGTAAAACAAACTTTACTATCAGATCACAGCTGTTTCAAATTTATCATTGCACTTAGACCAACCTATTTCAAACATTCTGATCAAATTTTCGTGGAGTCAAAAGAGTTGATTCTTTTATTTGATGGAATTTGTGTTTTTCTCTTTGGATTTACAATTCCATCTTAGTGTTTTGTTAATTTTCAAAAATAAGTTAAAGATTTCACAGTTATTAAATAAATTTTATTGACATCGTCTTGCTTCTAGCTTTTAAATAGACACTAGAATACTCAGTTAAAAGATTTTCTGCTATTTCTGCATAGAGATCCCTTTTTAAACAATTTTTATTTTCGGTGTTGGATGATAATACAAAAATATTGGATGATGCTTCAAATTGAGGTAATATTTCTAATATTGGTTGAATAATAAAATTTTTGATTGTTGTTATTGGAAGGGTGTAGCATGGAGGACCAATTAAATATATTGAACGCGGCTTTTCGTCCAAATATCATTGCCTCAAGACGGCGAAGTGTCGTTTATTTTTAATAGGCAGTGTTTCATTGGCAGGAAATGATTAATAATTGAAAGGAAATCATAGGTTTATCAATCCTATTAAAGCTGAACAAACTGACCAGCCACTTCGTTTGCGAAGTACTTGAACATGATAAACAATAATAAAAAATCGTTGAATAGTGAGTGTTTACTAATAATTACTTTCTAACTCTTCGACAAGCATTTTGTGAAGGTGGCTGATACAAAAGCCCTACCGTGCTTTCTAACAGACTTTTCGTTGTCTTAAGTCTAAGAAGGGAAATGAAAGCGAATATTTCATTGTCTACCCTATTTTATATTGTTGTTGGGTTAGTGAACAATTCCAAAATACGTTAGTCTTCAAGAATATTTCAACCTGCGCACTTTTGAATCCAGTCGTAGATTTTAGCATTATCTAATCGGCATTTTCACCCATGGGTATTTGCAATCTAGGACATTTTGATTTTCACATACATTTGCAACTGTGTACTATTTACTCCCGCAAATATTTTAGTTTCAAACATAATCTTTATTTTAATCTTACTTTACTTGGGATTACTTTGCACATACTCAATTTACATTTTGCGTCTATCGATCTTAAGTGGTTGTTGTTGTTGTTGTTGTTGTTATTCTTTTGGGAAATAAATAGCTTTTTCTACAACTAATAATAGACCAATCGATTTCAAATAAGATAAATGTGGTTGAAACTACTCGAACGCTATTGTTTGCAAATTTTTCAAATTTATTTGTCTTGTGAGACCCAATATTCAGCATTTAAAAGACCAGCCCGCCATCTTTTCAAAAAAGTCGTCGCCTGCAGTTCAACTACGGCCATACCGGTACTGACGTGGTTGTTATGGTGGCTGGACATTTGCAATTTTGATTTGAAGCTTTTGAATTATCAGATTAAAGGATTGCAGCGTAATTCTTATAACCTAGTCGTTGTTAGTCTTTGAATCCTTATGTCCGTATTTTTTAATTATTGATGTCAAAATTCATTTGCAAAGACAGTGTAAATCGCAGGTAGTTTAAATCACGCGGTTTTATTAAGTTTAAAATCTTCCAACAGAGATCCATCTTGCTAGATGACATTGAATGATAAATGACATTGAAGCTTATTCACTTCAAAGACTGGTACATAAAATCGTAGTATTACAACGTTAGCCAAGTCAAATACGATTAAAATAAATAATCAAACTTCTGAAAATAAAATTCAGCGGTGAATAACCGTGGATTTAAATCCTCATAGGTGCAAATCTATGTCGGAATAAAATACCCGTGAATGCAAATATCCAAATATGCACATTGCCCGTTAGAAAAAATCAATGTTAAAACCTACGTCTAGGTTTGAAAATGTGAAGATTCAAATATCCCAGATTCCTAACGTATTTGGCTACTAAGATAAAAACAATATGAATTGTAATTAACAATGAAATAATCTCTTTCATTTCCTTTCTGTGACTGAGGAACACAAAGGTTCTCTGACTAAGGACCATAACACTGGGTGCACTGGTATAGAAATAAATTTTCATGTAAAAGTATTGTTTTTCTTCTAAGAAAAACAAGAAGAGGCAATAAAAACAACTCTAGGTTCCACTATGTAGGAAGTTTCGAATCGTTTTTGTTTTATAAACAAAGGAGATGAATTTTGTTGCCGTTTTTGAAAAAAAGTTTTAAGTTTTGGTCAAAGATGAAAGATCCAAGTATACATCACACTTTCGAATGTTTGTTGTATGCTTGTCGACGATGTAAGGATTTATCAGTAGACAGTCTCTATTCAACTAATTTCTATTGTTGTCTTTTTTGTTTATATACTGCACAAGGAAAGTTCAATGATTGCGTTTGTTAAGCTTGAGGTTGATTAACCAATGATTAATCTTCAAATACTAGTAATGCCATGGAAACACTGCCTATTAAAAAAGGACGACAATTTTCCGCTTTAGTGCAATGGCAGATTGACGAAAAACCGCGACCGATTTCACGTAATATGCACATTGGTCTCTTTTTCTACACCACTGCAATAGTCCTAAAATTACATCGAAAATTTTATTATACAACCTCTACAACCTGATTTCGTCTGAAAGGAACATTTGTGATATTTCAGACGTTTTGTGTAAACCATGAGGTCTCGAATGTTTGTTATGGTCTTGTTTGGAAGAATAGCTCATTTCCCACCCAGCAATATAAGAATGAACGTTATATGACATTTGGAAGTAATAAAATATCGCTTAAATTTCACGCGTGTACTTCCCGCAGCGACAGAAAAACGTCGCACAACAAGAATATAATTCAATAAACCTTGGCGTTGCGCGCTAACCAATAACAAAAGCTAGTATGATGAGGTCTTATTTTGAAGGTCATTTCATATGCTACATAACATAGGAGAGTGGCCATCTCACAACGTCAGGAAGTTATACAAATATCGAGTCGTTTGATCGCGGTTGCCTCACCGAAAAAAAGTTAGTTCAAATAAGCGTTTTATCTCGCAAATTCTCCTTGTCTCACGATTAAGAGCTTTTATGATTCATAATAAATGTTTTATTATGACTCACAAAAGCTTTCAACGCAATAAAGCACCGACAAACAACCGATCGATCGATTAAGCTTAGCCTGGCCTGATTCGATGTGGTGACTTCTAAAATGGAAAATTTCCACCACGCTTGAATGACGCGCGATATCGACATGCATTTAGTATCATATTAAAGAGAAAACCAATACGCAGTCAACTGTATAGTCACATTTGAGCTTTACGAGAGCTTTACACGTCCAACAGCTGATAGAATGAGAGAGTGGGAATATTTTTTTTATTTTTTGACGTTACGAAAGACCTCGTGAAATAGGTGTTTCAGTTTACGGTCCTCCAGTGATATCTAGCGTATAGTACTCTAGAAGACCTGTCCAATTATATATAATTATTGTATATTGGGTAATTTTTGGGGGTCGTATGACATGCATAAAAATGGGTATACAAAATTGGGCTCGATTGGAAGTTTATACATAAATTTGTAGCATAATTCACCAATTACATTTCTTTAACAAAATAAAAAACCAAACCTTTTGAAAATAAATCGCTATGCCAAATAAGTTGAAAATCCATAAAAAAGGTAAAAAAAGACCTGAGTATTTTCAGGTCTTGTCGAAAGCCAGAAGCAAGGAGATGTTCAAAAAAATTAGTTGATAACTATTAAATTTTTAACTCTGTGGAGTAAATTATTAAAACAGTTAAAGATGGAATTCTAAATATGAAGATAAAACCCAACCCCATCAACGCGTAGGTCAAACTCGAAATATATTTATTTAAAATTTCATCTTTTACTTTCCCATTCAGAGATTTTAATTTTCCACGGCAGTGACCAGTATGATCTTAGTCTTAAACAATTTTAAATCTCATTTATTTATCTTGAACTTTTATTTGTTCTGTTGAAAAAGTTATTTAAAGACATTTAAGATTTAAAAAACCGAAAATACCAAATATATTCATTTTCAAAGCGTCTCAAAAAATCATCAGTAATTACAGTAAAGAAAAAGGAAAATTATATATAAATAGTTTTCTTTTCTGACAGAATAGTCAAAACTTTAAGTTTGACGTACAGTCTTCGACGTGCATCTGGCGCTTAATAAACGTTTATATACCCTAATCAAAAACAACAAAGTTTTGCATATCTGACGCAAAATCCTATTTAAACATCATGATGACCTTTGCCACAATCATTAAATGTCGAAAGCTTTATTAAATGAAATGTAGAATGCGACATAGACAATCCGTTGCTCATCCTCATTCTAATCTTTCATGGTAATTGTTCGTATAAGATTTAAATGTTTTAACAAATTTACTAAACGAATTCAACCTGCATTTACAATTTTGCCTGTCGAATATGAAAATGACAAAAGTATGATTCTATGATCTCTAATCGGAGATAGTAATATCAAAAAACAATTACAAAATGACAAAATAATAAAGTAAATATTTAAATAAAAAAATTTCACTTCATTTCACTTTAAAATTTTTTTCCTTCAATGCCTCCATTTTTCCTTTTCTTTAAAGAGACAATAAATCAAATCTCAGTATCACACAATAATTGAAAATACAATCAAGGAAAGTTCTGAAACTTATTCTCATTTAAAATAATCAAACATTATTCAAATTCCCTTTCGCAAACAAAACGATGAGCATTTGAACAAGAAGCATCATTGGCAACAATCTTTGAATAATAGAATCGAATTTCTGCGCAGTTGTCAGATCTACCGCCGTTTGGTTCCCCCGATGCCCATATTGTACTTGGTGTTTCATTTACTCCATCCGACCAAACCCAAATTCCTTCATTGCTGATGTCGTCCAATCCTATCCATGCACGATCTCCGGTTAAGTAATGATTCGGAAATATTTCACTGAATGGACAAGAAAACATTATGGACCGTTAGAGTTTTTGAAGTGAAATTAACATACCGATTATTTTGGTAACAGCATATTTGAAACCACGTACATTTGCACCCATACATTTGAACCCGTAAACTGCACCCAAGCATATGCACCTGCATACTTTTGTCCCCACCGACATCTGCATCCATACATTTACACCCATAGAATTTAGCATCCGCATATAGATTGCACCCGCGGAAATTTGAACCTATATACATTTGCACCCGCGGACATTTGAACCCAATTATATTTGCCCCCACGAACATTTGCACCCCTATACGTTTGCTTCTATGTACATCTGTACCCACGTACGTTCGTACCCATGAACATTTGTACCCATGTACATTTGCACCCAAGAACATTTGCACCCACAGACATTTGTACCCTGGACATTTGCACCCGCGGACATTTGCACCCCTGGACATTTGCACCCACGTACCTTTGCTCACATGTACATTTCCACTAATTTGCATTTGCACCCATGCACATCTGCATCCACGGACATTTGTACCCAGGCATATGCATGGGCCTCATAAACGCACCCATGGTCATGTTCCCAAATAAACGTGTTTCAGACAAACTTTAATTACCGACTATAAATATATATTCGAATTGAAGTCGGAATACAAATTATAAGTAGCCCTTATTCTTGGCGAGGGTCGCTGTGTTTTTACTGTCATTTCGAGTTATAATCCTTTCCATGAAATAACACAAACGTAGTCGAATGTGCGGTGCGGTGCGGTTTGTAGACGATAGGGAAGAAAAGTGCTTGTACATGAATTAATCAAGTCAGTGTTAAATTAACTGTACAAAACAGAGATAAGTGCCTCGAGAAAGACGAATAGATTAAAGAAAAACAGAGAGCAAGAATCGACTTCGACGCGGCGAAAGCATGATTTATATATACCAATGCGGTTCCTCAATCTGTGTTAATTAAAGGATGAAAATCCAAATTAATAGCGTTCGGGTTTGCAGTGTTATTCGGGTTGCAGTGTCTTCATTACTATTCGTAACATTAGGATGTCGCAATTTCGGCGCAAATGGCAATAGAATTTTTTTTACTTCAAATAAGTATCAATGAGTGTATATGTTTACTGGTGCAAAATTCCATGGGTGCAAGTGTCTATAGATGCGAATATCGGTGGGTGCAAATGTACATGAGTTCAAATGTTCGTGGGTACAATCTGTATGTGGGTGCAAAAGCTTGCGGGTCCAAATGTATGAGTGCAATTGTTCATGGGTCCAAACGTCCGTGGATGCAAATGTATGCGGGTGCAATTGCCCTTGGTGCAAATTACGGCTGTTAATGTACGTGGGTTCAAAGATAATGGAAGCGATTAGTCTCCCTTTCAGATCAATCAGGCTTAGAAATTACAGTTTATAGGAATCTTCAAATCGCGTCATCCAGAGAGCGTGACCATCGAGCCAAAATCGTTGACCAAAAAATTCGCGTTATTGTTTTGTATAATGTTAACGTTCCACATAATCCGCTAACCTACTTTTTTACTTGGTTGTCTCTCATCCCAGTCGATACCAAACGAGCTCCCATTCCTTCACATTGAGCCTTTGCAGTAGCGTAGTTGACAGAATCAGTGAAACGTTTGTAAGTGAGATTATTGCTTGCTGTGAACCATCCGGATATCGAAAACATTTTGGTAATTCTCGAATTTGTATCAGATAGGCTTTTATTCTATAAAATAAAATTACACATGAATAATGCTGGAATATTTTGACCTGAATTTCCAAACTCTAAAACTCAAGCAATAAGCAACAATTTTTTTAAAGTTCTATTTAGAATGTAGTTATAAATCTTTAATCATTAATCTTAACGTAGATATTAATAAACGCAACACATATAAATTGAGCACAATTAATGTTGCCCGTGATAATAAGTCATTTTATTTTCATAACCAAACATGCCATGTTATGAGTAATAAACTCACCAATTTATTAGCTTCGTTGTATATTTTGGAGTTCAGTTCACTTACTTCTTTTTTAATTGAAGTTTCCAAATCTGAAATTATATTAAGTTTTCACAAGTTTTGAAATAGAAATTTCAAATTAGATGATTTACAATTGACACGTTTCAATAAAATTTAAAAGATCTTACGTTTTTGAGTGTCGTTGATAATGATGGCGAGAGATGAATCAGTTCCACCCATTTTCTCTAATTTTTCCTTCGTATATTTATTCTCGTTTTGAAGCTTAAAATAAATTTCAGAATGCAAATAAATGGAGAATTCAAAGTGGAGAACAAATAGCTTCTTCAATACTATATGTTTTTATTGATTTTATCATGCTGTAGTGAGTTTAATTTAATTTCAGTGACAAAAAAACATCCAAAATACACGATGTCGATACTAACTTGCATAATCAGGATAAATGCAGCAACAGACACTGAGAAGGAGATTCCCAAAAATAGTGCAAAAACAATCAAAGTTTTCTTATTCGTGCCTTTATTGTCGTCTACAAAACGAATATATGTAAGATTTTAATTATGAACATGTCGAAAGAGGGATCGCATATTACATATTACTTGTGTCATAATTGAAGTGAATGAAGCAATTCAAATGTTTCACGTCATTGCTCCATAATAGTTGTTTTTGATGTTTAAAATGCTGTTCATATTTTTACTCGGATGGAAGTGTTACTACATTGATTTCATTTTAAATGCAAAGGGAAAAACACACTGTATTAACATTCGTGTTTATATATTATGTGTAGTTTTACTATCGTAATTTACCAAATTAAATTTTAGATAAATCAAATAAACACAAACCTTGTTTAGGATCGGCAGGTAGCCCAGAATTACTCTGAGAGGTTTCATATATTTTTTGACCCTGAAAATTTTCATAACATTCCATCTCCATAACAACGCGTTCTAAAGTGTTCTGCCCTTCAAATGCGACGTCTCGGTACCGAAGCCGTTTTATAGAGAATTATCAGCTAAGCTTAATTAATTAGCTAACATTTCACATCGAAGGAAATCATTATCAACGCAATTTCGATATTATCATTAACAGTGGGTGGCAAAATCGTAAGGACACAAAAGGACATAAGGACATATACCCTTGGTTATGTGACCATGCATACGTCAAATTACATTATTTGTTTTAAATGATACCTTACAGTAAATTCATGAACATAACATCAGAGGTGTACCAGAAAAAAACAGAGCCAATGACAGTATAAGTGACATATTATTTCCTTGATATTTAAATGAATACATGTTTTAAAATAACCAAAGCCTTATGAATCATGTAATTACAAATATGAATGCATAGCGGTTTAGCATACATTTTCTACGTCATATTTTTATGATTATTTCATACGATTATTATTTAAGGCTGTGTGTGGGTTAGCTATATGACACACTTGTTATGCAAACCACAATTGCTTCAATACACGTCAATCACAGTTCAATCACATTGGTCAGATTTGGGTCAATTCTACTACTAGAGTCAGAGCAAGAAAATAATGAATAATTCTCATTTCATTCTCTCCATGCTTGGTACACTGCGTGGAACACTTTGACTTACTCGTTCATTTAGGATTATCGAACATATTGAATTAATCTTCATATCCATCGCTATTTAGACTAAAACAGCCTCGTCGGCAAGTTCGATTTGTTCACCGTATAACGAGGTTAATTAAACAAATTTTTATTGATGCTTTTAATCTCATGACTCCACAATAGAGAGAGATAGAGCGAGAGAGAGTGGTCTGGTACTCTGATCTTTCAGTTCATGATATTTCCATCAAATATTTTAGTGAATCTGTAAACTTTTACATGTTGTTATTTAAATATAAAAAATACTATCTATAGAATTTTTAAGCCCAAAAAATTATGCCAGTGTTGAGGCTAAATCATACTTATATTTTAAATATATCACTATCACATTATGATCTTCATGATATATTCATTAGTTGAGTTGTAAGACAACATATGATACTGGCATTTTATGTACATTACATTTCGGCTCTGATAAAATTTATTTGAATAACCTAGAATAGCTTAAAAACATTTAATGATTTTACTATCAAGAGAGTGAAATTCAAAATATTTCCTTGCTTTGATCTAACCAGTATTATTGAGATATGATCGACGTGTGATTGAGGCAATTAAGGTTTTCATATCAAGTCCGTAACATAGTCAATCCGCACACGTCTAAATATAAATATATTATAATGTGAATTGTAAAGTAAACAATCGACCCTAACCCTATTTATATCATGATATTCAAACAATACTTGAAAATGAAATCAAGCGAAATTTCCTTCAACGAAACTCCATTAAAAACATCAAATATTATTCAAATTCCTTTTCGCAAACAAAACGACGGAAACGAGTGCATGCAGCCTCATTAGCATCAATCTTCAATATATAGGATACTTCTGCACAGTTTTCGATTCTACCGCCGTTTAGTTCCCCCCGGTGCCCATTTTGCACTAGGCGATTCATTTACGCCATTCGACCAAACCCAAATTCCTTCATTGCTTATGTCGTCCAATCCAGTCCATGAAGAAGCTCCGGTTAAGTATTGTTTCAAAAATATTTCACTGGATGGGAAAACAATATTACGGATCGTTCGACATCCTTAATGGAATTACCATACCGATTATGTTTTTTATGATATGTTATTTTTTTTACAGATCCATCGGGCTCAGCAATAACAGTTTATAGGAATTTTCAACTTGCGTCATCCAGAGATGGTGACAATCGAGCCAAAATCGATGACCAAAAAATTCGCGTAATCATTTCACATTATGTTTGCATCCGACACCATACTTGATTGAAACTAATTCCAGTTGAAACCAAACGAGCTCCCATTCCTTCACATTGAGCCTTTGTAGTTAACAGAATCAGTAGCGCGTTTGTAAATGAGACTATTGCTAGCTCTGAACCATCCAAATATCGAAAAAAAAATTTTGTTCATCCTAAAATTTGCTTCAGTCAGGTTTGCTTTATGTAAAGCAAACTAAGTTTAAAATGACCCTGAAATATTGTGTTTTTACATATCACTCTATGACTATAGGCAACATAAATAACAATATTTTCATTTGTTTATTTTTGTTGTACAAAAATAATATTCATATACTTTAGGAATTAGTAAAGGGTAAGATAGTAAGAAAATTATAGATAGGTACATATATTTGGCCCTTGTTGCTTAACCTCACCAATTTGTTATCTCCAATCAATATTTTGGAGTCAAGTTGACTCACTTCATTCTTCATATTTTTCAACTCATGTTTTGTACTTGAAGAAACTGAAAATGCGTTTGAAAAAAAAAAATTAGGTGATTGGGCATATTCTTAGATCACGGGTAATAGAGTTTTCTCCCTAGATTTAAGTATAATAGGCTTCGATTTTGAAGGTGTCAAATAATTGAATTCTTATAGCATCTGCCATTGTTTTCAAATTTCATATTTTTTTATTGCAATTAACTGCGTTAAACTTGTTAAAACAATACGATGATGCACATTATAAATTATTATTAATATAAACTTACCCTGTTGTGTTTCATTTGAAATTTTTGCGAGCGAAGAATTGAATTATGTTGTCAATTTTTTCAATGGCTTTGACTTGTTCTTAAATTAAAAATAAATAGATTAAGATTAGTATTTTGATTTTTTTGATATTTGATTAACACGTTCATATTTGAAATCTACGATACTTACGTTTCTGAGTGTCGTTAATAATGCTAGCGTGAGATGAATCAATCTCACTCATTTGTCCAATTTTTCTCCAATAAGTTCCATCTCGTTCTGGAGCTTGAAATAAATTTGAATATTTTGAATAAAAGAAGAATTACAAAAGTAAATACTTTTGTATAATATATAAATTTGATTTTACCCTTTTGTACATTTGGCTCAATTTGGTTCCAAGCAAAAAATAATTATCCAAAATACATGCTATCGATACGAATTTGCATTATCAGGATATATGCAGCCACAGACCCCAAGAAGAAGACTCCCAGAGATATCGCGACAACAAACAAAGTTTTCTTGTACGTAGCTTTTTTGTTGTCCGCGAAAAAAAATTATTTGGATAACGTAAGTAATGGGAATTTCGCAAAATTTGGAAGAGTAGATATTTTACCGCGTTTCCACGTTATATCGTCTATTTATTATTGCAAATTACAATTGAAGTGAATCAAATAAAATACAAACCTTTTTCAGGAATCGCAGGTGAATTTCAAACAGTTTGGGTGATTTCATATGTATTCGCAACATTTGCATAACTTTCCATCTCCATATTAACGCTACAGGAATTCAAATGCTCGAGGTGTTGGTGGCAATGGCATTATATAATTATAGAGGATTACAGCTATTCAGTAGTGAGTTAGTAAGCTAAAACTGAAACAAACGAGTCACACGCAAAATAAATGTGATAATGTTAGAAGTAGGCGACAAAATTACATTTCTCATACATCATTATAATACACTAAACACGATAAAACTTATGACAAAGGTACGTCGATATTTAAAACATGTGAAAGGCCTTACTTTATGATGATGTCTATGGCAAGATACTCTCTTCGATTTAAATTAATATTTTATTGCTCACATTTAAATATAAAGTTCAGAAAGATATACATAAGATATGGGAAGTGAAACAACTAGTTTACAGTAATTGTATCAAGAGAGCAACTGAGTAATGATATAATGCAATATTTTGATTTGTTTGAATCAAATGTCAGCGATTGCATTGGGAATGTTATAGTCGCTGTCACAATTACGTAACAATAATAATTACATTCTGAATTAATGTCAAATTAATTCATCCAATCTAACGGCATTCAGACTGTGTGTAGTTTGACTATGTGTCATAGTTGTAATTTTATTTAGAATACTATTAAATAATTAAATACAGCTCAATCGTATCGGTTTGGTCCAGCTTGCATGGGTCAAATATTTAATATTCCAATTTTCTTCCCCGTCCCTTTAATACTCCATGCACAGATACAGCAAAAACCTGCCTTTTGATCGTTTTAATGAATTCTTGCAAAAATCTATTTTCTACGCAGCCAACGCACTAATCGATTTCGAATTCCCAGTACCTAAGGGGGGTTGAAACCACTAAGTGCCATTTCTCACCTACTTTTCATAATGCCTTCATGTATTTTAGACGAAGAAAATTTCCTGAAGCGGTATATATCGAATATGGAGAAGTAACAATTTCGCCTTTTCTATAATATTGTGCCCCACGTGGGACTAGGCGCCAGCTTCTCTACAAATTCGGTTCTTGCTGTTGGAATACAGCTCTACCGTTCCGAAATTGCCATGGCGGAGCTTTCGAATGATCAGATGCAAAAATTTCAGTGTAAGTCGCATATGCTACTGATACTTTGACTAGGTATTGGATCTTCGTGTCTATATTTTAAATCATTGCTCTGTTTGCGAAAGTAATCCGCTGAGAAGGTTAAACGGACGGATATTTCCCAATTCAGAGAAAATTTTACAATTGCAATTTCGAAACAGGCACTGTGCAAAAACGCAACAAGTATGAATTAAAGAAGTTGCAGATACTAAATAGTCCAACTTGCTATTTTGAATGATATTATTCAGTTTATATAATAGTACAAATACCTCTAATATTTGTATTCCATTTTGTGGAATATTCCAGAAACATTGTTTAACCGGAGTTCGTGCATGGATAGGTTTAGACGACATCAGCAATGAAGGAATTTGGGTTTGATCGGATGACGTGAATGGATCGCCAAGCTCTACTTGGGAGTCGGAAGGACCGAACCGCGTTAGATTCGAAAACTGCGTAGAAGTATTCTATATTTCGAATATTGATGCCACTGATGCTCCGTGCACTCGTTTCAGTCGTTTTGTTTGCAAACGGGAACTTGATTAATGTTTT